TTTATAGCAAGAGAAGTTAACTTTTTATGTTTTTATGTTTTTGTTGTTATTATTATTAAAGTTATTATTATTAATATTATATTATTATTATTGTTATTACTGTTATTAATAATAATAATATTATTATTATTATTGTAATTATTATTATTATTTTTTAAAAATTTTGTTTCACTTGATACTTGTAAAAGAAGTAATATTTGTTATATTGTATTGAAGTTTTTAAATAAGATTGTATGATAATATAAGCACTTTAATAGATGTTTGGATTCAATTATAAATATTAGATATTGAAAAAATATTAGTTGTGATTCTATAGGCAAAATCTATTGCTTGTTATATGTTTGATACTGATGTATTATTGTTGTTTAAATAAAAAATAAGATTAATAAAGTCTATTATTTGTTTGATTATTTTTTTTGTTAAGGAGCAATTAAAAATATAAAAATGTTTTTAGTTCAGAAATTATATCTAAAACAATATGAATCTTTATAATGCTCAGGATATAAATAATAAAAGAATTCTTTTGTTAGGAAAGTATCTAAAATAATTTAATTCTAAATATGATAAGATTACTATATTTATTATTATAAAGTTTTTTTATAAATTTATTAAAAAGATTGATTATTTTGAGATTGAAAGTATTATGGAATTAATCAAATGTTTTGATTATAATAAGCTTTTACAAATAATATAGAATCTAATAATATTAAAGATATTTTTATATTATTTTGAGCAGTTATCCAAATTTGTATTATTGATAATAGGATTTTTCATAAAGTAGAAAGGTGAATTATTTTAATAAATGAAGTTAGTATTAAAAATAGATTCCTAAATTAAAAGCAAGAGCATAATTTAAATATTTTTTATTATTAAAAAAAAACTATTTATAAAGATTTTTTATAATTTAGACCATCTAATTCAAATGTCTTTTAAATTATATTCCTATTAAAATAAAAAATAAATAATTATGTTCCTTTCAAAAGAACATAATTATCTATAAAATTTTATATATTAAATAGTTTCAGGATTCATATTTAGTTAATATATCTTGATTTGGATTTAGGCTTGATAAGTTTAATAGATATAGACTTTTGTACTATGAATGTTTAATTTTTAAGATTAAGATAGCAAAGTTAATTTTCATTTGTTTTTTAGAAAAGTAAGAAGGAGTTCAGATAATTTTCTTATTGTTTCTGACTTCAATAATAAAGTATAAGGAATACTATTAAATAATATCATATATAATTCATAGAATTTATCAATTAGAAATTCTAAATTGAATATAATAATTTTAGTGTTGTTAATAATTATATCTTGTTTTGAAAATTGGATATAATATAAGTTGCATTGACCAATTGCTTATAAAAAAGATGGAAAAAATATAAGAAGTAGTTACTAGTAATTACTATTGTCACTTATTTATTAATTACTTTATTAACTTTATTAACAATATAATAAATAAGACTTATTATAAACATTTGATGATTTATTTATAAAAAAAATAATGCCAATTACTTTAGAACAAGAGAAAAGATAGAGACTGTAAAAAAAAAAGCAAATTCTTTGAATTCAATAATAAAATCTTATATAAAAAAATCAATAAAAGAAAAACTATTTGTTATATATTATGTGAAAATATGAAATAGATCCAATTTTATTTATAATGTATTATTATCCATTAGAAGAATACTTTGGCAAAGATATTATATTAAGAAGATTTATAATATTTATTATTGGCTACAAATATATAAAGATATTAGAGCTTATATTAAAAAATACAATTATTACCAATATAGAAAAAAAGTATTAATACCTGAACCATTATACCTCTTACCTGTAATTGTACTATTTTATCAAATTAAAATCAATTTTATAGGATTATTGTCACAAATATCAAAATTGAAGTAATATATTCTTATAATATAAATTATATTAATAAAGTGGTTTGAAACAATTGCTATGAAGCAAGCAAACATCAAAACTGTAATCAGTTTCTAGTATCAAGATATTGTTTATATGTATAGATATCTGGCAAAAATCATATCGGATTAAGAAATATATTTTAATAATGATATAATTAGGAAATTATTATAAAAACTTATTATCAAATATAAAATATTGATATCTTACTATCTATAAATAAATAAGTTAACAGAATACTTTAATCAAACTCTATATGAGACAATTACAAAATTAATAAAAAATATTATTGATTGAAATTTGCTAATATTATTGATTCTTTTTGTTTACCAAATAGTTAAAAATTTTATAACTGGCATATTACTATTTTATTTAATATATGGAAGAGAAATTAAGCAATTAATATATCTTAATATATTAAAAAAATTACTAGAAAAAATGATAATTCAGCAAAGTTATGATTTAGTAGAACTATTTTTGAAAGTATAAAATATAGCCATAATTAAATATGCAAAGTCTAAAATAAGAAAAAAAAATATTATAATATTTATAACAAATTAGTGATAAATTATTATATAAAAAAAAGGTTCTTATATATTGTATTGCTAAAAATAACTTCTGAAATAGTAAATTTGATAATAAAAAAAAGAGCTTATTTCATATTCATAATTATTTACCTAATAATGTATACAACCTTTAAAACCTATAAATATAAAGATTTTAAGGTTATATTAGGAATAACAAGGTTATAAAAATCTTTGATAAGGATATCAAAGAAAAAAAAAAAGAATTGTTAAGATAAATATTGAGCTTATTGAATTGTATGCCATAATTTTTATATATTATATCTAATCAAATCAATAATCAATAATTATAAAGTTTAAAATAGAGTTATAGTAATTATAAAAAGTTTAAAATAGTCTAGTAATAAATCACAAATATAATGTCATGAACAAAAAAAAAAGAATAATAATAAATAATAAAAAAGAAATAATAAGAAAGAAAAAAAAAGAAGAACAAAGTAAAAAAAAAATAATAAAATAAATTAATAAAGAACAAATATTTCTAAATTAAAATTTTTCTTTTATAACTGTTGTTTATAAAAGAAAAACTAATTAAAATTTTGTTTATCCAATGCTTACTATGAGAAAAAAAAAACAATTAAGATCTCCTCCAAAAAATGAATAGAAAACTTATTTGAAAAATACAAGTAATAAAAAAAAAGGGTAAAGAAAAATTAAAAAGAGTAATATTGACCAAGTCAAGAAATATATATCTCAAATGAAGAAAATATTTATCCAACTTTAATATAATATAAACCTGCTAGTAGAAATAATAAACTTGTCAAAATCATATTAACAGAATATAAAATAAGATTCTATAAAAAAAATATACTATATATTTATATATAATAATTTTATTATTATATGATATTATATAATTTAAATTATTTATTTAAATTATTTCTCTTACAAAAACTCAAATAGTTTTGTTTTACTAATTAATAAAAATTATATAGTATATATAAATTCTATATTTTAATTTGTCTCAAATATATTTAATAAAATTGTGATTAAGATTTTGAATAAGTTATAAAGACAAAAGATATTTTTTTATGTTATTTATTTTTTTATACTTTTTGTTTAGTTAATTAAATAATTATTAATTTTAAAATAAATAACTATTTTCAGTATTGAGATTTTTAAATATAATAATAGATTGTTATTAAGGATCTTTATATAATTAATTATCTTTTGTTATTAGTTAACTTGTATCAATAAATCCAAGCTATTTGTAGTAAAACATTTTTATACAATTATATCTTTTCTATTAGATTTAAAAATTGAAATAAAATAATCAACATTATATTTTTTTTCCAGATATTATCAAATATAATTATAGCTATTACTTTTATATACTTTAAAATAAATCCCATACTTCAAATAATATAATAAGTAATTTTATTCAAAATTATTGTGATTACTTTTTCACTTATTTAAAATAAATTATTTGATTTTAATTATTAATAAATAATTTTTTTTGTCTATTTAAGATAATAATCTTCATTATAAACATATTGTTGCAAAGTACATATTAAAAAATTTAATAGATATTAATTGCATGGATTTATTTGCATAACATTTAATATAACTTTGTAACTTTGCAATCTTTTTTGAGAATATGAATTAAATATCTTATATTAAAATTAATTAATACTAGTGATCTTTTACTTCAAGATGGAAATTTTATTTTTTTTCAAATTCTTATAATACTTTATTATTCTTTTGACTGTTGTACACATGAATTTAAGATTCATTACTATAACTGAAATGTTTAAATCATACTGCCAAATACCAACTATCTGATTTTGTTCATCTTTGAATAGTTCCTTGTGTTTTGACTTCATTGGAAAAAAACCATAAATAAAACCAAAAAAAAATTGTCATCATAAAAATTGTGAGTCATAAAGATTCTAACAATGTAAATTTATGTATCATATCATTCAATTATTATACAAAAAGAGGGTTTTCACGTTTTCTTTCATTTGCCGATCACATTGAAATTTGATCGTTGGCATGTCATGGAAGTTCAGCACAGGTCTGGAAAGATACATGATTTCGACTGTCCGTAGACTTTCCATTTACCAAAATAGTTAATTAAGCGAAATAAGTCACGTGGCTCTTTTTTTAACTTTGTAAATATAGTAATTAGACTACCTACTTTATAGACTTTAGAATTTGTGTTGCTCGGTTAATTAACTCGCTTCAATAATTGTTTATATAAGATCACGAGTCCTAACGGTTGCGTGATTAGTCAGGCACGATAACGTACCAAGTTTGGTTATTGCGATTCGAAAAACGTATCACCGCGCACCTAATTTACTTTTGTTTAGATGTTTATATCATTATGATAATTGCAAGTGAGAGAACTCTAGCGCTATGTGATTGTTGACTCGCTAACACAAAGTTGTATGACAAATAATTTTGTTATCTCGAATTTTTTAAACATTTATTTTCAGGAAACAATTAATTAATAGATCGGATTATTACACAGATGGTAGTATCTAGAAATTTTTTAGGTCACGAATAAACGGGAGTGGCAAACCCAACTCTATTATTTTCACGGTCAAAAACCACCTATAAAAATTAATTTCGTAAATTTCAAAGGATATTCTTTCACTTAACTCTTTCCAGAAGTGTGATAAATTACTTACATAAACATTTTTCAGAAATACACCTCCAAGTATCCACACCTAATTTATTAAAAAGAAAGACGTTGAACAAATAGAGTTGTATGGAACTAATTAATATATTTATTTCGACTTACGTTCTCATCAGTTGATACAATTCCTGAATAACAAAATTTATTGGAGCGCGATACTTGTTCTCTTACAAGATCCAAAGCTATAAGGAAAAGGGTAAATTAATTTCATTACATTTATCACGTAATGTTATTTAAATAAAATAAATACATGCACATACGATTGATCGTCCATGCAACACCATTTATTCTAATCGCGATTTTCACTGCATTCGATCCACTGGCTATATTGCATGGGACCTGCCACGTTCCAGTAGACGAATCATACCTCCCTTTAACTTTCCTAATAATATTATTAACCACATCCGTCCCAAGAACCATTAAAGAAGTTCCAGTGTCCACTATCACTTGTTGGCTTCCACTTATGACCTGTTCATTCATCTCGACGCCATCAATCGAGATTTGCCAGTACAATTGTTGTGTTACACTTGTATATGTTATTGGTCCTGTGAACAAACTAGTATCCACCCCACCAAATGTGAATTCACCCCCGTAAGAAGATTGAATACGAGCAGGGCGAAGTTGGACCGAGAAGACTGCACGCGGTATTAATCCTTGGTTTAACATGTTGGAGAGAGGTGTAGATGTACCGGCGGCCGCTGCTAATGAATCATAGCCTATTTTTAAGGAATCATTGGAACCTATTAATCTACATATCGTACTCTGAATAAAAATACACTATTAACTCACCTAATCCCATAATTCCATCGATAACGTCCACCATAAACTCTTGACTTAAATTGTCGACCATAGCGAACCATTGATTTTTTATATTCATATTTCCTATTTGCGTAGTATCCTATTTATGATATCTGTAAATAAATAAAATAAAAACAGTTACTGGAAAGGACAATTACTAAATAATAAAATACCTGCTCAACCAATCCCGTAGAGCTACTCCCATCGGCGTATTGAATTTGAAAACGTGAATTAATCGCGGTAAAAGTGCTGCTTTTTTTAGGATCGAATAGTCTGCTCTTTCCACATCTGGTACATTTAGTGGAAGGGATCCAAAGATCTGCTGAAGCAGTGTCAATGCTAATGAGAAATGGTTGCGGTGGTGTGCCTACTGCAATTTGTGCCACCCACTATATATTTAAAAAAGGATTAACAAATTGATGTAAAGAAAACTATTTTTCATGCAAAAGTTGAATTCATTTACCTCAACATCATTCGTTAAACCAATGAGACCGATTGCTTGGATTTGTATTGGAGAGGGGGTCGAGTTTGGTATACTCGTCGAGCTGACTTTTGTGGAAGTTGATGTTCTCGTTGAAGAAATTGTTATTGTTACACTTTTTGAAGAAAGAGAAGTACTCGGAATACTTTTTGGAGAAGTTGACGTACTCGTGATACTTTTACTAGAAGTTGACGTGCTCGTAATACTTTTCTTAGAAGTTGACGTGCTCGTAATACTTTTCTTAGAAGTTGACGTGCTCGTAACACTTTTCTTAGAAGTTGACGTGCTCGTAACACTTTTCTTAGAAGTTGACGTGCTCGTAATACTTTTACTAGAAGTTGACGCACCCGTTGAAGAAATTATTGTTGGTGAACTAATTCTTGTGGAAGTCGAAGGGAAATCGGTTCCTGAGGATGTCGAGTCGGAATCAATTCCTGAGGATGTCGAGTCGGAATCAATTCCTGAGGATGTTGAGTCGGAATCATTTTCTGACTGAGAATCGCCTTTTTTTTTAGGTGTATTTTTCTGATGAGCTCTTTTTTGTATGCAATTATGCAAATTCAGTAGTTTGAAACGAAATTTTTTTTTACAATCCTGAACAGCTTTTGGAGTGGATGTGACATTTCGCAAAGCTAACTTTAGTCGAATTATGGACGGTGGTGGTATTATCGCAAGTGTTATTGAAGTGAATATAACCAATGTAATGATTAATATATGGGTAGGTTTCATTTTCCATACATAATCCACGGTATTGTAATGAGTATTTTCGGGTTAAGGGAAGCAGGAATGCGAAATTAGATGGTATAAAATGGGTGGAAGGTAATAGAAGGAGTGACGACGTGGATTTGTAATGAATTAAAATAACGACTTCGTTATTAAGACATAGCAAACTCCAACTTTTATTCTGTAAAAATAAAAAAGATAGCAAATTATGAATGGGGAAAATAATACTACGGTAATATAAAGTAATTCGGTATGTTTTTTATTCGTGTTTCATCGTCACCATTTTGGGAGGTTTTAATTTACACATTGATGTCCCAGAAACTGCAAATTGCAATATTTGGCATACAATTGAAATACAAACATTTATCAATTACGAATAGAAGAGATTTATTACCAAAAGGTGTGACAGGGTTGTTCCCCATGCGACACACCGACAGCATTTGCGTCACCCGTGCAGCATATAGACATGTGACTTTATCACTATGATCGTCACGTAGTCAAAAAATCGCGAAAAGCGCGAAAATTGTCAAAATCGTCGCGAACTGTATTAATGTTTCATGGAACTGACATCACTTAATATGAGTTATAATTATGCTTATATAAATAAATAATGTTTATTAAAAAAATTTTTTTTAATTTGTAAATTAACATTATAAATAGAATTAAATAGGTTTATTAATAAAAATACTGTATTTATAAAAAAATTTATTTTATTTTATTAAAAAATTTTAAAAATCAAAGTTATTATTTAAAAAATATTATATAAAAATAGTCACGAATAACAAAAATTTATAAAATATATTATTTTCTTCTAATTGAATTTGTAAAACGTAAGTTTTTTTTTTTTGTTAAAACAACATCAATTTTTTACTATTGTTTTGATTTACTGTATAACTTTTAAAATTCAACAGAAAGTTTTTTTAAATTATTTACTGTAACAAAAAAGTTAATAATTTGACAGATTAATTAAATTTACATAATATAAACTTTGACTATAAAGTAGCATATAAATTTTATAAATAATTTGACATATAATATTTATTTACATTTTTCAAAATTTGTTAAATTATATTTTATTAAAAACTTAAAATTTTATCAATAAAGCTAATATTTTATTTGATTTTAAAAAAAAACAGAATTAAAATTTTCTTATTATTTAATAAATTTGGTAATTTGAATTAAATAAAATCTTAATATACTGTATATTACTTGTAATAAAAAAAGCAATATATTAAAGTTTTATTAATATTTAATTTTAATAATTTATTTTAAAATATTAATTGAAAATTGAAAAAAATAAATTTTTAAACAATTTCAAATTTATACAGTATATATACATAGGATGTTAAGAAAAAAATTAAACTTTTTGTATACAACATTACAATATAAATAGCAAATTTATTTGTATAAGCTAAGAAACTAATAAATTAATATAATTGTATTCAATATTTAAAAAACACAAATATTTAGTTTAATAAGTTTTATATTACTTTATATTACTTTAAATAAAATATCAAAACTATTAACTTTACAAAATTAAACTATTCTATATTTTTGACATAAAAATATATAATTCTTCAAGAAACTTTATAAAACTATTGATATTTTCTTATTAACAATTAACTATAATTTAAAAAAAAAGACCTGTGGGTCTATAGTACAGTGGTCAGTGCTTCCAGGTCCAGATCACAAGATACCAGTTCAACTCCAGGTAAAGGCGATTGAATAGAATTAATATGATATCTGGTGCCATGATTTGCTAAGCACCGTTTCTTATAAGAAGCCAATTCACATGTCAATCCAGTAGGCGTTAAGATTGTGATCTCCAAAAAAGGTGTTGTGGTGCGACGATCATCTGGTTGGTGTCATGATGATCGCTGGAAGTTAGAAACTCAAAAAGGTGTTAAAGGCATCCGGTTTAGAGCAAGATGGTTTGGTGATCATCTCCTCGTGGTACCTGGTGTCTCTTCCTGCAAGTGGTTTCAACTTCAATTTGGGTTAGAAGGCTTTCTCTATAGAGTTCTATTTGTTTAATAGGTACTACCCCAAGTTCCCCTTTCACTTCCCCTTAAAATATCCCCGGTTAGAAAATAGAACATCACTTACATATAATAGCAACATTAACGGAGTATATGCACGTTAGCTTCAACTTGTCAGAATTCCGGCAGTCGATAGCAATAAGCCAATATAAGGGTAAAATCTGATATAGTCTAGCGATGTGTAGAATAACTGATAGATAGTAATTACCTGTGTAAAAATGTGTAAGATACATATGTCTGTTAAATAAAATCACGTTAGGTAAGGCTCAGCTAGTCAAGCTAAAAAAAAAAAAAAAAAAAAAAAAAAAATATAGTCATTGTATGAGTATGATAAGGATGTTACATGAGTGATATACAGTGAGCATTTTTCTGTACTCCAAAATAGTAACTAAAACTTTGTTGTATTTGTTAATAATATATGGATATCTATTCTTGATCTATTGATTGATAAAAATTTCTGTTTTGAATTTCTTGTTTGATATTCAAGATCTTTTTTGTTTTTTTGTTATTTTTTATGATTTTTTTTATTGAAAAAATTTGTTATATCTTGTTATTCATATTGCTTGTAAATATTCTCTGAATCTGTTATATAATTTGTAATATATGATTATATATTCTTGTTGTCTATATATTTTTATATTATTGTAATGGTTATATATATAATTGCTCTTCTAATATTGAGATTTAGAGTTTTAGTATTCCAGAAATTAATGTGTATTTGAAATTTAATAAAAAGTTAATGTTTTGTTTTCTTGTTACTAAAGATAGGTCTCTAAATTATTTGTAAGAATATAATTCAAATGTCCCTTATTATTAAAATTTTTCATTTCTATATTAAGAAATAAAAAAAAACTATCTATAAAGATTCTTTATAGTTTTAAGTATCTATACAAATCATTTCTGGAATTATGTTTCTATTGAAATAAAGAGCTAGGAATTATGTCCTCTAGGGAACGTGGACATAAAAGAACATAAATTCTATATGCTAAATACTTTAAGGACCCATCTTTACTTGTTACTATATAAATTAATTTTCTCATTTAGGATTTTGCTTAGATATATATTTTTATTTCTTTGATGCAATTTGATTAGTATGGGAAGTTTCAAATTCCAAAGTTTGTTCTGGAATTTTCAGTTGTTATAGTTATTGAAATCTGTTATATTGTTTATAATTTTTAAGGGATAAATATTATTAATTAAGTATTTTCAATTAATTAGTATATAGATATGTGGACTAATATTTATTCTGTTGCAATTTAGTAATCTTCATTGAATAATTTATTTGGCAAGTAAATATCTCTTAATTCCTATTTTAATAGAAACTTCAAGTTAAAATATATGTCAGTTAGTAAAGTATAAAGAGTTATTGTTTGTATTGTGGTTGATAATACTGATTAGTAATATATTTTTAGATATAATAGCTTTTTTAATAAGTTTGTCTACAGTTTATTGTATTCCAGTTTTGATTTTTTGAAAAATTAATTAGATGTTATAGTTTTAAATAATTTGTTAAATAGTATTCAGTAGGTGGATATTTTTGAATTTTTTGATATTTTGAATTTTGTTTTATATAATAGATTTAATACTATCAATAATTACTTAATTATCTATAAAAATTGTTATTTATGCTTAAGGTAATACTATAATTAATACTGTAAGTATTAACATCAATTCTATTCTGGTTGAGGATGAATAGTGACTAGTTTTTGCTTGAAAGTTATATTGTTTGATGTGTTGCAAATTGTTTATCCAATTCTTATTTGTTAATTGATTAGAGAGCCATTAGTATATATTTAAATTTGATATTTGAAACATATTTAATTGTATATAAGAGCTAACTATTAGATTCTTTCAGATATTGATATAATAAACTGCAAGATGTGGATTTGGTATTGAATAGTAAGATGTATATTAATTATAGGTTAGATTTGTTATAGTTAAAGATGGGTTTCTAAATTAAAGATAAGAATATAATTCAAATGTCTCTCATTATTAAAAAAGTTTTTTTTAAATATTAGATAAAAAAAAACTATCTACAAAGATTTTTTGCAATTTAAGCCACTTGATTCAAATGTTTATTTTATAAGCTGAATTAAATCTTTGCTAAAAATATTTTTGATTATATATTTGAAATTTTTATTTATTTATTTAGAATTTATTTATTGATTTTATTTTTTATTCTGCTTAAATATTTCTTCTTTTAGATTTTTAAAAATTTTGATCTGACTTGATTAATATAAAGTTTTCTGAAAATATATTCTATGGTTTTTTGTTATTTATATCAGAAACATTTTCTATTTATATAGAAATTAGATTTTTTATATTTAGTTTATCTTTTATTAATAATTTGTTATTAAAAAGATTATACTTAAATACTATATTGTTATGATTTAGTTGATTGATATTAAAATTGATAATCTAGATAATAACAATTAATTTATATTTTTTTTAGTATATTTTTCTTTTATCTCTTATTCTAAGTCATGCTTTATATTTTTTTTATATAATTTTATACTAATTTATTTACTATTTGCTATTGTTTTATAAATCTATTAATATTAATATTCAAATTTTTTTGTTTTATTGAAGTGTATAGATAAAACTATTGATTTATTAATTTTCAATTTCAATTATTTATTTGTAGCCTAACTTTATTTTTCTTTTATCAATTTATTTGCTCTTTCATTGTTATTGTTTTTATATGTATCTTAATTTTTTTGAAAATTATTATTATTATTATTATTTTTTTTTTTTTACTGCAAATGAGCATTAAATGCGGGGTTTTATTAAACATTTCGTTTACTACCATTACATTAACGATCTCATACATCAAAGTGCAGATTAATCGTAGCCTATTGCAGAATTACTACTGACACCAACTTACATCAAGAAGATGTGTCCATGCCAATAGTGGTTCAGAATGGCTAATGCTCATTCATAAACAGCTATGTTAGTGTGAGAAATAATAAAATTTTTCATGATTGGGTTTTGGATGTGCTGTCTGGACCTGTGAAACCATAAAGACAACTTTTTTTGATTGAAAATTTGTTGATTGGGTTTTGGTATTGTTGCCTGGACCCGTGAAACCATATTGCAACTAATTAAGGGCTGAGTAAGATATATGAAAAGTCCAGTTTTTTTACATGAATATAACATCGGGGTTGTTGTTGTATTAATTAGGAAAACCGTTGGGGTATTGTGACATGGAGTTGTTGTTATTGTTGATACAAACAGGTTTGAACCGGTTTGATTGTTATTGTGTTGGAATATTGATATCTGATTGGTTGTTGATTGTGTGATGATCATTTGGAGGGATGAAACTGATTTTGGTTTTTGGAATTTATTGAATTTTTGAAAACGATGGATTGGCGCAGCATTGTACGTCAAATATAAGATGATTGAGAAGGTTTGATTAAAACAAGTAGGAGACCCAGTAACTTTGCTTGAGTATGACTTTAGGATTAAATTTGCGGTATTGAAGGATAATGTGGAGATGGTTATAATGACACATAGGTAAGGAGAAGTGCATAAAGACAAAGTTATGAAGGAGGACTGTCACGGGCCTTTCCCCATATAAACAAAAAACAAACAAGACTCTCAAACTTGCTTGATCCTTGCCCAGAGGTCCCATCCCAATGCAACAGTGGTTCATATAAGACTTTTTATTAAACAAGAGTTTATAGCTATTACATTAAATATCTATTTAAATTAATATTAATCTATTATATATAAACTTTTGAAACAATATTATATTAAGTAAGTGGTATTATCTTAAAAATGATTTATAAATAACTTATATCTATTTGTAAACAGTTATATTAGTAAAAGAAAAAATAAAATTTTTAATAATTGGGATTTGAATATGCTATTTGAATCTATAAAACTATAATAGCAGCTTTTTTTGATTGGAAATTTATTGATTGGATTTTGATATTATTGTTTGAATTTGTAAAACCATATAACAACTGATTAAGGACTAAGTGTGATATATAAAAAGCTCAAAATTTTTATATAAATATAATATTGAAATTGTTATACTAATTAGAAAAGCCATTAGGATTATAGTTTCAAAAATTGGAATTGTATAGACTCATATGAACTTGCATATACAGTGAACCCTCTCTAAATGCACACCTCTCGGGACCATAGGAAAATTTTTGAAAAATGTGCATTTATAGAGGGTATGCATTTATGGAGGTAATTTTATTAAGAGTTCTATGTACTTGGGACCAAGCTTGACCGTGTATTTAGAGAGAGAAAATATAGTAAGTGCATTTATAGAGGGTGCATTTAGGGAGGTCTCTCTGTATATAAAAAACATAAGTGAATTATAACTTACTTATTAAATTTATTATAAAATCTGAAATCAAATAGAATCGAACACAGAATTATTAATATTCTTAGTTGAAGTATTATAATATAAAGATATTATTATTATTATTATATATAGATTTAAGTTAATATAGTTGTTATTGTATTGGATTAATTATATGTAATTAGTTATTGAATATATATTAATTATTTGGAGGAGTAGAACTGATTTTGATTTTTTGTGTTGAGAAAATTTTTGTAGATTTTTTGATGGCACAGTATTATGTATTATTAAAAAAGTAATTGAAAAGATTTGGTTAAAACAAGCAAGAAATCCAATAAATTTGCTTGAATATAATTTTAGAAATAAATTTGCAATATTAAAAATTAATATAAGAATAGTATTAATAGTTTTTAAAAGAAAAAAATATAAAAACAAAGTTAAGAAAGAAAATTGTCACAGGTTTTTTTCCATGTAATCAAATAACAAACAAGTTTTGTATTAAACTTTTTTTAATAAAAAAAAAAGTATATATTATTTTCATAAAATTTTAATATTGTTATTTAAAATTATAATAAATTCAAAAGATATATTAATTATTTTATTTTTTTAAATATAAATAAATATACAGTATATATATTGTTGACGTCTCTCTTGGCAAGTCTGTCGCTTCTCCTAAGCAATCCTCGCATTACGTCAGATAAGATTTTTGGGCTTCTCTACTCGAGACGTGTGATTTTGTTTAGTCGAGTTTTACTAATCCTTTCCTTTTCTTTCCGTTGTCCACTTCTTTCGTCCGGTCTTTTACCACTTTCTCTTGTGATTCTAGACGTCTTTCCGTGGCAAGTACTGGATGAGGTAAGTTAATTAGAAATTACTCAGTTTGAAAATGTTAATCGTGCGTCCCAATTAGGAAGTTGGTAATTAAAGAGCGATTTTCTTATTAATATTATTTATTTTATTATTTTTGTTAACCCCTTTTCTCTCTCTCTTCTCTCTTTCTTTTATATAACCATGACACATCTTTCTAAGCTATGATCACGTTATGCATCTTCTGCTGAGCTGTAATAAAATATTTGTTATTATTAAGCAAATTAAAGTCATGGCTAATTTAAGCTTCTAAAATTACATCATGTCGCTATAGACTATAGATAATCTACTGATGAAAATCAGGATACGTGACATGCTGGAACGTGTTCGTGCCGTCACGCCCCACATCACTTCCCCGCCAACAATATATAATATAGTACAAAAAATTTTAAAATATTATTTATATAATATAAACATATATAACTTTTTCAAAACAAAAACAATTTATATAAAATTTTAAATATGTAAACAATATTTTTCAAACAATATATATAGATATTTAAAATTATTTGATCTTTTTTTTTTTTGGTAAACAATAATTCTTTTATTATTATATAAGTAAAATTATATATTTAGACAAGAACCTATATCTTTTAACTTATATAAGTTAAATACTAGCTTATTAACTTAACTATTTAAACTATATTAGAAAAGAAATTTTAAAATAATAAATTATTTAGATAGGAGTATAACAGATTATACTATTTATAAAAGTATATAAGAAATTTAAAAAAAAATAAAAGAAAAATAAACTACATATTAATAATTAGTAAATAACTTTTTATATGACAACTTTGGCTCATATAATTATAGATTTAGAGAAAATTAGACATTGGTATATGTGTTCTAATAAATATTCTAAAACTGTAATTTTTGATTAATATAAACTATCAAATTTAGGAATATAAATATCAAGTAGAATATAACTCCAAAATCTTCTAGTAGATACTTCAAAAAAATCAATTGGCTTAAGTTATCAAATTTAGGAACAATTAATTGCCAAGCAAAGTACAACTTTGATATACTCTATAAATTGTCTAAAAGCTATAATAGTATTATATATTAGTATTTACATCATTGATTTCTTCAAAGTTGTTTATTTATTATTAATACATAGTAAGTTATTGTTATTATTGTTATTGATAGTATTGTTATTATAATGGCTGATGATATGATTTTAATAAAATATGATTAGTCAAAATGTAATGTTGATTTTTTAATAGAGTAAACTAATTTTGATTTTTGTTAAGAAAATTTTTGTATCTACTATATATGTATAAGCAAAAAAATATTAAACCAAAGATTTTTTTCTATATAACTTTTATTAATAAGGTGCCCAAGTCTTGAAAAATCCAATTAAGAGTTCCATCCTTATATAGCTTGAATCTTTTCAATCAAACTTTTAAAGTTGGCTTATATATAACAAAACTTGAAATATAAGAGAAGTGTTGTATTAATATTGATAGAGGTAATTTTTGTTTTGAAAAAAATAAGTTATCAGATTAGTCCAGATAATTGATAAGTCTATTTTGAAAAAGATTTTTTTATTCTTGATAGTAGTAAAGGAAGAAAAAAGTTTATTTAAAAGAAAAAATAACTTGATAAATACCTCTGTAAGACTTGTCTTGTTAAAATTTCTAAAAAGTAAGTTTTTTAAAAAATTAAAGAAAATAGAAAAGAATTTTTTTTTAATTATTTAATTATTTTATTTTTATTATTATCTTTTAAAAAAAATACTCAACAACAAAGTATATTATATTTGTGAAATAATAAAATTACTTTTATATATAAAATATATTTCAAAACTAATATAAATATCAACTATTATTACAATCTCAAAAAATTGAATTTAAAAGATAATAATTCAAGAAAATCTGATAGTAGTTATTTTAAAAAGATTATAATATATAAATCAAAAGTAATTGATTAATATTTATATATAATTCAAAACTTTCCTCATATCAAAGTATCATATTTAACAATTTTAAAACATTAATCAATATGAATTATAAAAATAATTTATCTTTAGAAACACTTATACTTACTATTGCTTATAAAAAAGCTTATATTATTTAGACAAAAAAGTATTTTAATGATAACTAGAAAAAAAAATATTATTTTTTGATAAAACAATATTTTAACTATTTAAAAATACAATTACTTAATGATATAAAGATATAAGATCAATTAAAAAAAATATCTAAAGATTGTATTAAAATCTTTATATGAAAAGAATTTTGTACAAAAGAAAATTTTCTTTTTTTTATTTTAAAGAAATTATATATACAAATTTATATCAATATTTGCAAAATCATAAACAAGAAATTAATAAACTACTTGAAAATAATTGATGCTTTCAATAAGATAATGATTTTAAGTATACAAGTAAAATTGTTAATATATTTTTAAATGAAAAGTTTTTTGAAATTATTGATTGACCTTCTAACAGGTCAGATTTAAATCCCATTGAAAACCTTTGGACTATTACTAAAAGAAATATAAAAATAAAATTACCAAAAAATATTTTAGAATTAAAACAATTTATAATAGAAGAATGGAATAAATTTCAAATAAGGTTTTAAATAATTTTATAGATTCAATGAATTAATAATTGAAAATAATGGTAAAAGAATTAATTATGAATTATATATTAATAAAATCTCTAGATTTTTGACTTTATTTTGATATATTATATATATATATATATAAACAAAATTTTTTCTTAACAAAAACTAAAATTAACTTACTTTTATTAAAAGATCAACATTATATCTTAATTAATTATAATAATAACAATAATTATAATAATAACAATAATAATAATATAACAATAATAATAATAATAATAATAATCCATCACATGTTAATACTAAATAAACAATTTTAAAGATCAATAATATAAGTGTTAATTATTTTTAATAACAAAAATTAAAAATGGTTTTCCATTAAATATACAAAACTTCAATTTTAGTTGTCTATTAAATATTGTTCTTAATAAAATTAAATGAAAACTCTAATGGAAAAAATGTTTCCTGCATAAAACATAGTTATTATGAATCTTTTCCTGAATAATTCTCAGAACCGCATCCTTCGTTCAATTCTTGCTCTTCCTTTGTTAACCGAATCAATGCCGCCTCTGCCAAAAGCTCCCGCCTAGGTAAACTACTAGTTCGTGTTGAATCCCCACCTAGTTTGAAAATTCCACCCTCGTATACGTTCGAATTAACATCACCTTCAAGGGGATTATAAAAATCTGAATTTGATAATTTATGTCCTCCCGAAGCAGTCCAATCCATAGATACTGTAAGAAAATTGATGATAATATTAGATATAGAAATGTTATTTAATAAAGAGCGAAATACGCATACTCACAAACATCTTTGTTCAACTGTCTATTAAGGCGATGGAAGTTATCGTCGTGTTTTCCCCATACGTTGTGCGTAAGCTCATGTAACAAAACTTTTCGAACTTCAGTATAATTCCTGAATCCCTCCATATCATCTGTTCTTAATCTCAGAGAAATCTCTTGTCCGGCATTACGGTTTAAACCTAATATTGTTCTCTCAGCTGGTGATAATTCTCGTAGTGTTCCGACGCTCCATTTATAATGTAACATAATAGCACGAATACCTCGATCATCACGTAATCTTTCGAGTAGTGCCCGTGCCTTTTCTGGATTAGGAAAGTGTTCTATGACTTCAATTTGATGGAATGTGTATGTATTGGATGATAGATCCTCTGTCCGTTTTACATTTTTATAGGGCTACATTGTTTTTATTAATTCGCAATATTTAATAAGCTAATAATTTAATGAATTGTTTAAAAGGATTAGCTTACATTTACTGAATATTTCGATTTTGTTGGCTGGTTTATTAATTTCTCGTCTGCTACTTTTATCGATTGAACTTCCTGTTGCGAACTTCCTATTAGCATTACTTTGATTCCACATTTAAACTTACTTTGTTGCAGGGTTTCATCATCCTTAAGAAGGCCTATCAAAAACGTAATATATATAAATAAATAAAATACGATTAAATATAAAAAATTAAACCAACCTTTATATATTAATTTCTGAAATTCTACAGGCACTTTTGTTTCCACCGTAAGGTGTTCCTTAAGTTCGCGAATTGTAGAATTGGTTGTCCAATTCTCTATTTGGATTATTGTACCTTTAAAATTAACTTGAAATGTAACTTTTAATTAAAGAAGATAAAAGTGTTATTTTAATAAGAAAAATGTGAAATCGAGAAAATTTTCTAAATAAAAAGTAGCTTACTTTTGTCTTCCGCCATTTTTATCAAGCGAAAAATTGAGAATTTCTGGAGCTTTTATAAATTTTGTGCATTAGGTTTACGCAATCATATTTCCCAATTGACATTTCAAATTTTAAGGTTACTACCGGAATTTTCTGGAATACTGCTTAGTAATAGCAAAAATTTATTGTTCTACATATCGTACGATGTCGATTAATTAAAATAACCCTTTTTTCAATGTACTTATTGTATTTGCATATCAAGCAACCAAAAACTCGGTACCTCATTAGATACAGTACTTTATATTATTGGCTCATACTATTACTAGTGATTTTAGTTGATAGTTGAAAAATTGACTATAGTCGACCTAATAATTAATTGACTAATATTGATTAGTCGATTTTAATAATAAAATTATATAAATAATTAGATATTTTTATCTGATTAAATAATTTAATATCTTTGAATTAATAATATCAAATTAAAACTCTTTTGAACTTTATTATTTCTCATTAGTCTTTACAGAAAGTAATAATGAAAACAAATTTTTCAAAATAAAATAAATTTTTTTTTATTGTTTTCTACAATTTATTGGTGTTAAATTTAGCTACTAGTTTTAAAAAAAAATCAATTTCAAAACAATCAAGTTCAATAAAGAAATTTAATAATATATACAATTATTTACTTTAAAAACTAGTATTACAAATTTGATAACCATTGTGATTAATTACTAATTAAATAAAAATAAAAATTTATTATCTTCAAGTAAAGAATATAAACAATCACAATCAAATTTTATAGTCAATCTAATTATTACAATTAAAAGAAAGAAATAAATTACTGTATTATCAATTAAAAAAGAAAATAGAATTATTTTTTATATATTAATATGAATAATAGATACTGTAATATGTAATCATTTGATATTTTAAAAATAAAAAATTTCAAGATATTTTTTATGAAATTAAATTAAAATATATAAAAATAAAATTAAATAAAATTTTCCTCAATCAATATAATTTTTTAAAAAATGATTTTTAAAGTTAATGAATAATATTATGGAAACTTTTGTATTTATAATAAACTTATAGACAAAAGATTACAAATCTTATATAAAATTAATAACTTATTAGTTTTTTCTAAATTTTAATTTTATAAAATATTATTTATTATTAAAAGTTTTTATTATTCATATATAATTGAATATATTAAAAATTGTTTTTATCATAAGATTTTTAAATGGAAATTAATTAATAAATGTATTGTTGAAATAATAAATAATACAATTTTAATGATAAAAGCAATATCCAATTTTCAAGTAACTTATATTTAATATATCACATATATATTCAACTTTCTATTATAGATAAATTAAAAAATAAAGAAGCAAATTTAATTAATCAGATTAAAGCTTTTAATAAATTTATTATAAATAAAAACAAATATTGAGAAAAACTAAAATTGATATAATTTTAATTAACAAAAAAAAATCCTTTAATTTTAAAAAATTCAATTTTAATTCTTATTTTAATTATAAATAACATATTAACAAAATGAAATTTCACTTATATTCTTTTAAATTGATTATTTGATTTATATGATACAACAAAAATCTTTTAAAAAAATATAATAAAAGATAAAAATTAAATTATAAAAATAATATAAAAGTTTTAGAAAAATTATTATTAAATAAAGAAGAATTATTTAAAATAAAAAAATTAATAAAATTATTTAAACTATTTGTATATATAATTATATTAATAGGTAACAATTATTATTCAACTATTTTTATAATACTATCAATAATTAAAACTTTATAAAAATACTTATTTCAAACAAGAAATATTATAAATCATTTAATAATTTATAAAATACATAATGAAATTGAATTGTTTTTTAACAAATAATGAAAAAATTTAAATCTTAATAAATATCTTATAATAATTTTGGATCAAGATTCAAAGACTTTAGTTTCAAATCTAGAAACTTTAATTAATTAAGAAAAATATGTAACAAAAAATATAAGCTAATATGAATTTATTTTATTAAACAAATTTGAATATTAAAACAAATTCAAATTTTTATTTCTTAATTCATTTTTTAATAAAATAATATTATTAAAAACTTTATCAATTGATATTGAATTTAAAATAAACTTTGATTTGTCAATAATATCAAAGTATAATTTTAATAGTTCCCTTTATAAATATTATAATTTTTTGATTTTTTATATAATAATAAGACAATATTACCACTCTTAGTACAGCAAGCTTAATAATATTTATCTATTCCAGCAACTTCTATATCTTTTAAACATTTGTTTTCTAATAATAAAAATATTATAACTTATAATATAATTATTTTTACTCTAATATTGTTTATAATTTATTTTTTTAAAAAAAAAATTAATACGTTTTTAATGTTTTTTTTTTTTTTTTTTTTTTTTTTTTTTTTTATAAAAATTTTTTTTATTATTTAAAATTTTTTTATTTTTTTTTTTTTTTTTTTTTTTTTTTTTTTAGATAAAAAGTATTAGTAGCATATAAACTTTATTGAGTTATTTATATTCAATTATATGACTATAAAATCCATTTAAGTTAATCTATACTTTCATTTATATTCTTACCTAATTATATCAATTAATCACTTTAAAAATAAATAAATACATCCAGATAGAATCTTTAGGAGATAAAAATCCTATCACTAGTTTTAAACTATTTAACCTAATCTAGATTCTGACAATAGTTGTTTGAAGTATATACTTTTCAGAGTTGGTTAAAACATTCAAATAACCTATTTAATACTTTTTACTTGATTTCTTAAAAAAGATATTGTACTCTTTATTACCATCTATAACTTCAGATTTTTCTTTTTATCAGATCCTTTTTTTTAAGCAAGTATTAGATTGAAATAGCTTCAGGCTAAAATGTTCTTTATACTATGAAATCTATTATATTAGAAGGGTTATAGGCTTTTATTAAAGTTAGATTAGAAGTCTTTCCTTATATAATCTTTCTTGCTTTAACCTGTTTTTAATTCATGATTGTTAGAAAGATTAGAGATCCTATCTTTATGCAGCCTAACTAAATTTGGTTAGGATTTGGATGTTTGAAGTATGACATTTATAGGAAAACTGATAAACTTACAAATGAAAAATAAATTTTATTTATTTTGTCTCCTATAGGTATTGAACTAAAAATATATATTTAAAAATCAATGAACACTATCCACTATACTATTGACTTACTGGTTAATATGTTTTTAATATTTTTCTTGAATTAAAATAATTTTATAATATATTAAATAATATTTTATTATATATTAAATAATAATAAATTATATATTAAATAATAAAAATTATATATTGATATAAAAAAATTTTATAATTTTTATAAGTTATTTTTATGATAACTAATAATATATATTAATATATACATATATAGTACATATATACAGTATAATTAAAAATTGACTAGTTAATATAACTTAATATAAGTTGATAAACTTATATTTGATTAATTGCTTGATTTTTTAAAGTTAATCAAAATTACTAACTATTATTACACTAATCGAAATTTGGTCATTCGGCATGTCAAATTATTGCTGAATTTTTAAATTTTTTAT